AGACCTGGATGCTGCAACCCAAGGAGAGAGAGGAGGACAGAGCCCGGGAGAAGAACAGCACTCGGCAGCCTGACCCCTAAAAACCAAACACAACAGAAACCAAGCCAATGGCAATGGTTGAGAAGAACCAAGCCAGCATGTAGGGGAGGCCAGGGTGGTGCCCTGGGCATCCAGGGTGGAGGGACTCAAGGAAAGGAATGACCAGAAACACAGCTGGGGAGGCCCGGAAGGCCAGGGGCTCAGGCTGAACTGTCTCGGGGGTCCCAGGGGACTGACGGGGGAGTGAATCGTCAGAGGTGGTCAGAGCCACAGATTCCTGGGGGACATGTGCTGTGGCTCAGGATGGAGAAAAGGTGGGCTGAGGTCGGGACGGTCGGTGCAGGCCGGTGCACGAAGGCGTCTGGAGGAAGAGAAACTTTACAGCCCATGTCCTGGAGGGGCCACAGACAGGAGGCACCGGGTGCTGGAAACCACACGCTGCTCCTTTTCATGGATGAAGAGGGGAGTGGGGAACACAGGGCGAATCTCAGAGTCTACTGTAAAGAGGAAGGATTTACCTGACGTGTGTCGCTGCATGGTCTGGGCAAAGCTAGGGGAGCTGGTTTTCGAGGAGTGAAGAGATAGGGTGGGGAGGGGGAGATCCGGACATGGGTTTGGGAAACATGAGGGGATCCAGCTGTGAGAGACCAGAGGCACCCTCAGGACAGTGGAGCCCGGTTCTTTTCTCTGCAAATAAATCTCACTTTCCTACATCTCAACACATGAGGCGGCTCACCCCAGTTTCTAGTTCTTTCTCTAAGGGGGTTTGGCCTTCCATTGCCTCTAGATGGGAGAAAAGCTAATGGGGCTCACGTCCATGGAGGGGAGTTCAGGATGAGGCTGGTGGTTCAGGCATCCTATGAGCCCGAGGGGAGGCCGCTGGCCTTGTGGTGCTTACGGAGACTTGCAGCGGCTGTGATCCACATTGGGGGTGAGAAGAAACAAGACGTGAGGCTGCAGACACCTGAGAGGCACTGTGGGGGCAGCACCCCACAGGCAGAGGCAAATGGTGGGCATGCAGTTTCCCTTCCCATCTGGTGTCCACTGGCGGCTGGCAACCCCATGCGGAGACCTTTGGTGCCTGCACTATCCCCACCCCCTTTTATCCAGGGCCCCTGATGTGCTTGGCTCTGCCTGGCACGAATCCCAACAACTCTCCCTGCCTCCTGCTTGTGCGAAATGAGCAAATGTGAAATTGCCCAGGATTGAAGAGCTCAGGACCTTGAATTCCAAGAGCCAGGGAGAAATACTCTGTTGTTCTTTAGACC